CCAGCCATCTCCTTTCCCTAGGCACACTTTTCATCATCCAATGGGCTCATGAACAGAGTGGCCATGATAGCAGGATGGAGGTTATACAGGGGCTCAGCAACATGGTAACATGGGCTTTCACTCACCAAGGCTGACTTGATGACAGCTACTGCTGAGTACCCAGTCTGCCATCAGCCAAGACCAGCACTGAGTCTCTGATATGGCACCATTCCCCAGGGTGATCAGCCAGCTACCTGGCAGCAGGTTGATTACATTGGACTGCTTCCATCATGGAAGGGACAGTGTTTTGTTCTAACTGAAACAGACACTCTGGATATGAATTTGCCTTTCCTGCACATAGTACTTCTGTTGGAACTACCATCTGCAGACTTATGGAATGCTTTATCCATTGTCATAGTATGCCATATGCCTTTGCATCTAATCAAGATGCTCACTTCACAGCTAAAGAAGTGCAGCAATGAGCTCACACTCAAGGAATTCACTGGCCTTACCATGTTCCTCAACGCATCTGGCTTGATTGAACAATGGAAGACTTTAAGACTCAGTTATAATACCAGCTAAGTGACAACACCTTGTGGGACCCTACACGGTTCTCCAGAAGACCATGTATTCTCTGAATCAGAGCCTAACATATTGCGCTTTTTCTCTCCACAGCCAAAATTCATGGGTCCAGGAGTCAAGGGGTGAAAGTGGTAGTGGTACTACTCATCATTACGGCCAGTGACCCACTAGCAATGTTTTTGCTTCCTGTTCCTGCAACTTTATGCTTTGCTGGCCTAAAGGTCTTAGTTTCAGAATGAAAAATGCTTCTACCAGGAGACACTAAGATTCCATTAAACTAGAATTTAAGACTACCACTTGCCACTTTGAGCTCATCATGATTTTGAAACAGTAGGCAAAGAAGAGAGTTACAATGCTGTCTGTGGTGACTAATTCAGACCACCAAGGAGAAATGAGATTATTACTTCATAGAAAAGTTAAGGAAATGTGTGTCTGGGTAGATCTCTGAGGGGATCTCTTAGTTTTAGTATACTTGTGATTAAGGTCAATGGAAAACTATGACACAATCCATGCATGAGTGCTCATGACCCAAACTCTTCAGGACACCCCACCAAGACCAGCTGATGGGATGAGGTGCTTGCTGAAGGGAAAGGAGATACAGAGTGATTAGTGCAGGAAGGTAGTTATAAATACCAGCTAGGTCCATGTAACCAGTAGAGAAATAAAGACTGTGGTTATTGGGAATATTTTCTCTGTATTTTGTTCTGAGTG